TTTGTTAAAAAAAGTCCACATAAATTGATTTCTCAAATAATGTTTTATGATGAATGTAGAGCTACGTTGGACGTGTAAGATAGCTAGGCTTAATGGTAGCAGCTTCATACAAATAGTCAACCAATATGACTTAGACAACAAAAAAGAAGGTTGAGCAATATTTTGGGTTACCATTGTTGTCAGTAAACTTATTCGTCCCTTAAATGTTGATGATAATATTAAGATAAATGCAGAGAGTTATTGTAAGTCAAAAAGTTTTTTTTTTTTTTTTTTTTTCACAGGTCCTAACCAAGAATCTTTATGCTAAAAAGTATATTCATACCAGACAATTCACCTTAACATTCGGCAAAATTCATTTTTGTTCTAGCTGAGAAGAAAGGTTTGAAAGGCATCAAATTCATGGAATGATACCTAGCCTTTCCAGATATTGATACAATAGGAAACTTGTGGTCTATCATGCACATTAATATATATACACAATGATGTATAATGATATATATATATATGCAGGTTGTCTGGCTGTCGGTTCCTAGGAACTGATTTGCCTGACCCTCATATGTCGTAAAAGAGTCTCCGGTAGGCGCGGGTCAACAGCCCGCGTCGAATCAACAACGTCCACGAAATATATATATATATATATATATATATATATATATATATATATATATATATATGAAAATGGAAAACAATAGGAAATCAAAGAAGATCTGTGGGAAGCAATATTACAAGTAATGTTAAATTCGAAACAAGGGGAAAACAAAATCACTGACTGAAATAATGACGAAAGTCAAAAGATGTAACGGGGCCCATATTATAAATAATGAAATGTTATAGATATCAATAGCTTTAATTTAAATGGCATTTTGAAGAGACTCAAAATGCTGACAACATTGATTAATACCAATTTTATTGTGAAAACACTGACTCAAATAATAATAATAATAATAATAATAATAATAATAATAATATATATATATATATATATATATATATATATATATATATGTATATATATATTGTCAAATATGGTTTCGTGTACATGCATGCAGACAAAGATTTAAAAAAATTCTTCCTCTTTTGTTCATATACATCTTAGCAATTTCATATATATATATATATATATATATATATATATATATATATATTATTAAGATATATATATTATTAATATATATATATATATATATATATATATATATATATATATATATATATATATTTATTTATTGTGAAAAAGAAAATACTTCTGTTAATAACTAGTTTACAACGTCGATTTGAAATTGTCTACATGGTTTGTAGTGTTCCTTATATATATATATATATATATGTGTGTGTGTGTGTGTGTGTGTGTGTGTGTGTGTGTGTGTGTGTGTGTGTGTGTGCATGTGTGTGTGTGCATGTATGTGAGTTTATTTAATCGTATACGGACTTACGCCTATGTTTACGAATATACATATAGTATTATTTTTTATTCTTAATTAATTCCGGCCTTGGCAATATCCTGAATGCAATGGGCCGGGTGAGTAACGGGACAGAGCTGAAGATGATGCATAGACGAAGCAAAGGAAAAAGATAAGAATATGAAAGATAGATAGACAGATAGAGAAAGAGAGAGTGTGAGAGAGAAAAAAGAGAGAAAATGAAAGAGAGGGAAAAGAAAAGAAGATAGGAAAAACTGACAAAAACGAAAAAGAAAAGTACTAAAGATTCGCTTATGAGGAAGCAGTGGCCGGTGGTGGTCGGGGTGGTGGTGGTGGGGGTGTTCTGTCGTTTGTTGTCAATGGTAACCGTAATAGAAATGGGTCCCGGGATGGTGGTGGCAATTATGATAGCAGTGCTTGTTATGACAGAACACTCCAAGAAAGTATTGTTATATAAGAAATCACGAGCGGCTTTTTAGCCAAAGTAGAACCTAACCGGACGCCAACTCAGGCCCGCGGGCTTGTTAGGACAGTGGTTAGTGAATGCATCTCGCAGAGCATTAAGATGGTGTTCGATCCTCACTCGCTGCTTCCCGATAGTGGTCTTAATTTCAGATTACATTATTTCACTATTCCAGATATAATATTCCAGACCTTAAACAAACACACGGACACATTTATTCAAGACTTTAGTTGTAAATTTTCGAATGCTAGCTAGCAAGTTCGAGTTTCAACCGTAGTGTCATTAAACCAGACTAATTTTTTGTAAATGTTTACAATCATTCAGTCATACAAACCGCTCCCACAACACAAAAATGGAAATGTACACAAGATAGATAGATAGATAGATAGATAGGTAGGTAGGTAGGTAGAGTGATACAAAAAAAAGAATATAATTTTTGTGGCCGGCAATTGATGAACACGTCTGAGTAAAAGCCAAACTTTGCACTCTGATATTTAAAGCGCTGAAAAATAAGCGCAACACAGTCTTGCTATTCTTTTTCTCTCTTCTTTTCTCTCTCTCTGTCTGTCTGTCTGTCTGTCTGTCTCTCTCTCTCTCTCTCTCTCTCTCTATATATATATATATATATATATATGTGCTATAAAAGTTAACAAGCTAGTTTTGCAAACTATTATTGTTGTAGTGAATTGATCTTGATTGTAATATATTTATGCTTATGAGCCAGCCAAACTTAACTTGAATAAAAACCTTTTCACCCGCGCACACACACATACACACATATTTATATGTGTAGATAGATACGTACATATTTATGCATGTATGTATGTATGTGTGTGTATATATATATATATATATACACGCTCTATCTCTGATATTGAGCACTTTATCCCATAAATATAGCACACCTTAAGACTATATTTCTTTATATATATATATATATATATATACATATATACACGCATACATTTGTATATGCCTATATTTGGTTTATTTAAATGTGTATATCCATGTGTGTATATATATTTGAAACTTTTGTACATACCTTATACATATGCACGTGTGTGGGTGAGTGTACGCGCGCATACAGCCACAATAAATTATGGTTAAAGGGGGCATTGGATACAAGGGATAGCCGCTTAGTCGGACCAACTATACACGAACAACGTCACACATTTGTAATCTCTTTTTCCTTTAATGCAAAACTATCTACATGAAACAGCCACTTGTAGGGCCCACATTTTCTAACGTCAATGTGTTCCGTTTAAACGTTGTCCATCTTTGGGTAAATTTTTCATTACTTTTATTATCTACAACTGTCTTCTTATAGAATCTCATCTGAATGAGTATGGCGGTAGAATAACGGTTATCGTACTGATCTTTCTTAACTTTTATAGTCATTTTAATCAGAAAACGTGGTCTTGTATCCCACTCGACAATTTAATATACCTGTAGAATACACACAAATAAAAACGCCCACCCACTTTCACGTGAACGCACTCGCGCGTACACACACTCACACACACACACACACAGATAGATAGATAGATAGATAGATAGATAGATAGATAGATAGATAGATAGATCGATCAAACAAACATAACAGATTTTAATATTACGCAAATGAACTTGGTATCATAAGGTAGAAAGATTGTGTAGTGCCTATTTACCGAATGGACGAAGTTCTTTTAGCTGAAAAATGATAATCTGAAAACGCCTGAGAGAGAGAGAGAGAGAGAGAGAGAGAAAGAAAGAGAGAGAGAATAGAGGAGGGGAAGATCGGGGAAAGTGGGAAAATGCATTATCTCTTTCAATTTTTTTCGTGTGCTTCAGCGGGCACGTCAGTTCGAATATTTATAAAGGCTGGGTTTTGATCCCTGAGAGTAATAGGATGTTTTGTTACCAGAAAGTTGGCGCTACATATTCATCAAACGGTAAAAATACACGTTGCCACATTTTTGTTGCTATCCGTCGCGCATCATAACGAGATCGGCTACTTTCACTCGGGTGGCTGTATTTTTGGCAACAGTTGAGAACGTCGTGGATTTTTGCGCCACGGATCAGAGTTCAATTTCAGGTAAGGTAGATTTTCGATTGCTTAGGCGATTTTCTTCAACTGAAATACCTTACATAGCAATACTTCTACAATCTGTAAATTTTATGAAACCAAATACTAAAGTCTCAGATTTTTTTTCACATGCTTGGCACAAGGCTATTTTCTCGTAGGTCTCATTTAATGGGACTTTATCATGGAATTCTCTCATAAAAAGCATGCATTAAGAAATTTTCAAAACTATTATTGGAATTTAAAAATAACTCTCTCCGATGATATACTCGACAATGAACTTCAGCAACTGTTTAAATATATACCAGGGGATGCTGAAAATTTATCGGCTGCATCCACTTCCCCAACTCACTATTCTGATGACCAGTCTATATATATATATATATATATATATATATATATATATATATATATATATATATATAATAAAGCAATCAGTAAAATATTTTGCATATCTAAATATTAAATTGCATATGTATGTTTATATATGTGCTTATCTTGATGTCTGTGTCTGTGTGTACTTGTACTTATGTGTGGTGATCGTGGTGGGTGAGTACAAGTAACACTATTTACACAATATGCTTCTGAGTAATTGTATGTTTTTATTTTTATTTTTATAATTAATCGCTGCCGTTACAATGAAGACCTTTCTAGTTACTTAATACATTAACTTAAGTGCTATCACCTTATACCAGACAAAAGTAACCATTATATGTCCGAAATATATGATTAAAACATTTTAAGAAACTCAGTTTTTTATCTATCAATATGACAGGTTAGATAGCTACTTAAAATTTAAATGTAATTCTGATTTTTAAAACCTTTTCACGACTTTCGGTATACGACATATATATATATATATATATATACTCTCTAACACACACACGTATATACACGCACATATTTTATTGAATTCGACTAAGTTTTGTCAATTTTTTACTTAATTTTTTTCTAGTCGGCGTATGAGCTGGCGTACATGTTAATTAAATCTATTAAGAAAAGTTCATAATAGTTTGGTTAATGCATGACTCAAAAGACGAAAGTTACACATTTTGCGTTTTAAAATGTAATTTAAAAATCATTTTCTAAAATATTAAGTTGAGATCTTTAAACATTTAAAAATTAAAATTAAGTTTTTTAAATATTTTCTTAACTTTTACAGTATGCTTATCTATCTATCTATCTATCTATGTAATGTATGTTTCTTTCAGTGTATTGTCATATAGGTTAATGTGCAGTTTTTATAGATGCAACTGAAACACGTTGACTTTTGCTACGCAATTTCAGCAGAACTGAAAAAAAAAAAAAAAAAGAAAAAAAGAAAAAAGAAAAAAGCTAATAGATTTTCCCTTCCAGAATTTTTCTTCTATTTCTCTCAATGTCAATGAGAGAAAAGAATTCGATCCCATGAAAAAAAAGAATGCTTTTTTACCACAAGAGGATGAAAAATATGCTTATTAAGTTCTCTTATACTTTCACAGTTCCTCTCTCTTTCTCTTTTCCCAACACTTATGCACACACACACACACACACACACACACACACACATACACGTACATCCACACGCACACACATATAGATATGAGCTGGAATTTCTCATGACTATAGCCTTGTGCCAGACTTGTTCTCATGACTATAGCCTTGTGCTAGACTTGTTGTAGAGCATTTATTAGGCATTTCTATTTGCACTTCGTGGGAGCTTACTTGTTGTGACCATCTACCAGACTACGTTAATTTTTGTGACTATACTATAACCTTCAGTTACATAGTTTTGGTTATGAAGTTTAAGAGTGGAGTGATAGAAAGCGAGTCTAAAAAGCCATTACTACTGTAGTGAGTTAGATCCCCACTTGCGAATTTCTCTCACATTAAGGTCGGAATGGATAATTTTAATTTAGGATCATTAATATGTTTAATGTTTTATGAATTGTTACTTTTATTTACTTTTAATGATTAAGCTTCACACGCACAGACATACATACATACACACACGCGCGCACACACACGCACGCGCGCGCGCACACACATTTATATATATGTGAGTGTACTGCATGCACGTACAGAAACAGGAGTACCTTCAAATCATAGTACCCTTCATTTATAATAGATATACATTATATTTATAAAGTATAGTGCACACAAAATATAACGGAATGATTTCCGCATGAACCATCACTTATCTCTAGGATCAGAGTATCCAAGCGTTCTATCTGGGATCAGTGTTGCTCCTCGGTTTTATTACCCAGTGGAAAGTATTAAACACACACACATACACAGATGGGGTGATGAAAAATCAGCCTGACTCAATTCCTAAAATGTAACGAAATAATCAAACATTATATATATATATATATATATATATATATATATATATATATATTGCCCAGTTTTTCTATAATCCTTTTCTCATTCTTTTTTCTGTATCTTTCTTTCCTTTTCTTCACATTTTTATTTCACATTATCTACGACTGAAAAATGAATCAGTGAGCATTGTAAATTGTCACGCCTGTCTCTTCTTAACAGTAAGTAAATGAATTCCATGTCTGTTATGCCGCATAATCTATCATCCTCATATCGTACATTTCAATCAATCACTCTTTGTCTTTTACTCTGTTCATATCACAGTCTTTTTATGTCCATCTATCTGTATATCTATCTCAATGGATTCATATCTATTTTGGTCTCTCTTTCTAGGTGTGTCAACTTATTCACCATTAAATGATGAAAAAGAGCATTTATTTTAACCAACAAATGTATTTTTCAACACAGTCTTTTCCCTTGACAATGCACGTAATCCAACACTTCTTCATAATTCTCACAAGTGGAGCACTTTACAATTAGAATATCAAATAAAATTAAACAAATAACATTGATCTACCATCGTATACAGTCATTCACTCATTCATTTCTTTCTTTCCTACTTTCTTTCTTTCTTTCCTTCTTTCTTTCTTTCTTTCTTTCTTTCTTTCTATGTCTGTTCATACTTATCTACGAAGAGCTGCTGAAAACTTCTCCACCAAGCCAGGGAGGAATTAAAAAAATTCTGATGTCATTTGGTTAGATTTGGGGGAAGAAAACTTTTCAGCACCCCGTATTTGTCTGTCTATACATATGAACTATCTCAGGCTGTTCATGTTTGACAATCTATCTTTTCGCATTCAAGTCTATCTGTACCTAGCTGTTCATTCGTACAGATTTGTTTCGCTCGTTTCTTTCTTTCTTTTTTCTTTCTTTCTTTCTCGACATATCACGTGACAAAGATTTAGGCCTCAGTAGAGGTAACAATAAATAATCACATACACACTCATGCACGCATACAGTGTTAATCAAACGCCAAGCCTCAAATTCACATCTCAAAAACAAGAAAAAACCGCGGGCGCACGTACACACACAAACGCACAAGCTTCTTTTCCATTTATGAAAACTCATTCGTACAAGCAGTTCAAAATGCACTGATATTTATCGTTACTTTGTGTATCTACTTAAACCACTGTCTCTCGATGTAATGTCGCTTAGAGTTAAGATGCTAGAGCATTGGACAGGATGCTCCCAATTTCAGTTTTAACTCTTAACTGTTGGAACTGTTAGGATAATCTTGATATATTTGGAAAGGATATTAGAATAACCCAGAATTTATACTGGGATCAAACCGTCTCCATATACGGATAGAAAATAAATTCAGTAAATATGCCAAAATAGAAAGGAATGCAAGACAAGGTTGCACCTTCTCACCGGAATTATTCAACCTTTACAGTGATGTGATTCTGAGAGATTTAGAATTTCTACCAGGATTCATTATTGGCGGCCACAATCTTAACAACATTAAATATGCAGATAAAACATTGTTGGTAGCAGACACAGAAAGGAAACTACAGGAACTTCTACAGAAAGTAGTAAAGGAAAGCGAGAAGAAAGGACTAAGCATTAATTGTAAGGAGACAGAATGTATAATTATCAGCAAAAAGAAGAGTCTAACATGCGAATTACAAATTGGAGATTCCGAAGTTAAGTGCTGAAAGTTAAATATCTAGGAAGTATTTTAACAGAGAACGGAATATGCGATACTGAAATCCGAATGCACATTGGAATAGTAAAAGATGTCTTCGAAAAGATAAGTAAAGTATTAAAGACAGAAAAATCTCGTTAGAAACAACGAAGAGAAGACTTAACTGTTATTGGTCATGAATACTGGACAATCTCATCACAGATAAAGAAGAGACTTTAGGCAACAAAAAATGTGACTCTGCATAAGGATGCTGAGAATACCATGGACTGAACATGTGATCAATGACGAAGTTTTATGGAAATGGTAAAAAAAAACCCACTTATACCTATGATCAGAAAGAGACAGTTGAAATTGCTACGGCCCATAATAAGAAAAGAGGGTTTAGAGAATTTGACACTGACAGGACATATAGAAGAAATCAGCGCATAAACTATCTAATGAGTTTGAGTAAATGGTTGTCAGAACAGAGATTACGAATTATAGCGAAAAGACAAAATTTACTAAGAGCTACAAAAGGCAGGAAATTGTATAGGGCTATTATCGTCCACGTGCCAAAGGGACTCAACACATTTTATTTTACCACCAGTGAGTCTGTTTTGAAGTAAGCTGTTATAGTGGAACACACCTATTCTATTGTTAATAGAGTCTCCCACCTATAATAAGTAGGAGTAGTAGCAGTCGCTCAGAGAGTTGGTCAGTCCGTTGACTGGCTGATCGGTTAAACTCTCTGTCTTCGGGCGGGGAGGAACCCGAAAGAGGCTACGCCGAAGGGCGGATTCTCTTTCGGGGAGGTAAACCGACCCTGAACCCGTTTATATGGGTTCAATGGGCATATTTTTGGCCGAGCCCACGGGCCCGGAGATCCCACGTTAAACCGGCCTTGTG